GTTGCTGGTACAGTGTGGGAGGGTTGGAGGTTGCTGGAACAGTGTGGGAGGGTTGGAGGTTGCTGGAACAGTGTGGGAGGGTTGGAGGTTACTGGAACAGTGTGGGAGGGTTGGAGGTTGCTGGAACAGTGTGGGAGGGTTGGAGGTTGCTGGTACAGTGTGGGAGGATTGGAGGTTGCTGGAACAGTGTGGGAGGGTTGGAGGTTGCTGGTACAGTGTGGGAGGGTTGGAGCTTGCTGGAACAGTGTGGGAGGGTTGGAGGTTGCTGGTACATAGGGAAGTAAGTAGCAGAGGAAGAAGGAACGTGAACAACGTCATTGTTCACCTCAACAGGGAAAGTTGTAACCGTGAACAAACAGTCAAGTCTAACATTGTAAACAATATGAGAGACACGTACAACACCTCCGTGTCTTGTAGACGTCTACAAGACGCAAGTATAACACCTGCGTGTCTTGTAGACGTCTACAAGTACACACGTACAACACCTGCGTGTCTTGTAGACGTCTACAAGACGCAAGTATAACACCTGCGTGTCTTGTAGACGTCTACAAGACACACGTACAACACCTGCGTGTCTTGTAGACGTCTACAAGACGCAAGTATAACACCTGCGTGTCTTGTAGACGTCTACAAGACACACGTACAACACCTGCGTGTCTTGTAGACGTCTACAAGACGCAAGTAAACACCTGCGTGTCTTGTAGACGTCTACAAGACACACGTACAACACCTGCGTGTCTTGTAGACGTCTACAAGACGCAAGTACAACACCTGCGTGTCTTGTAGACGTCTACAAGACACAAGTACAACACCTGCGTGTCTTGTAGACGTCTAAAAGACGCAAGTACAACACCTGCGTGTCTTTCAGACGTCTACAAGACACACGTACAACACCTGCGTGTCTTGTAGACGTCTACAAGACGCAAGTACAACACCTGCGTGTCTTGTAGACGTCTACAAGACACACGTACAACACCTGCGTGTCTTGTAGACGTCTACAAGACACACGTACAACACCTGCGTGTCTTGTAGACGTCTACAATACACAAGTACAACACCTGCGTGTCTTGTAGACGTCTACAAGACACAAGTACAACACCTGCGTGTCTTGTAGACGTCTACAAGACACAAGTACAACACCTGCGTGTCTTGTAGACGTCTACAAGACACAATGTACAACACACTGCGTGTCTTGTAGACGTCTACAAGACACAAGTACAACACCTGCGTGTCTTGTAGACGTCTACAATACACAAGTACAACACCTGCGTGTCTTGTAGACGTCTACAAGACACAAGTACAACACCTGCGTGTCTTGTAGACGTCTACAATGACACAAGTACAACACCTGCGTGTCTTGTAGACGTCTACACAGACACAAGTACAACACTGTTCAGTGATCTGTAGAACGTCATACAACTGAAAGTACAACACTGCGTGATCTTGTAGACGTCTACCAGACACACAGTGTTGATACATGTTCCTACGTTGACTGACAGTCATATCGCGTATGTATACCCTTCAGTACAACTGTCCTGAGAGTAGAACTAAACTAGTAACACTCTTGTTCAGCTGTACCTCACAGCCTCAGTAAACCCCACATCACCAGCCTCAATCTCCACCACCAGCCTGCATACCTCCACCTCGACTCCTCACCAGCGACTATACCTCACTCACCAGATTAGTATGCTCACCTCACCAGCCTCATACCTCCACCCACTCACCACAGCCTCATACTCACCTCCACCTCCTCACCAGCCTCATACCTCCACCTCCGTACCTCCACCTCACCAGCCTCATACCTCCACCTCACCAGCCTCATACCTCCACCTCACCAGCCTCATACCTCCACCTCCGTACCTCCACCTCACCAGCCTCATACCTCCACCTCACCAGCCTCATACCTCCACCTCACCAGCCTCATACCTCCACCTCACCAGCCTCATACCTCCACCTCACCAGCCTCATACCTCCACCTCACCAGCCTCATACCTCCACCTCACCAGCCTCATACCTCCACCTCACCAGCTCATACTCCACCTCACCAGCCTCATACCTCCACCTCACCAGCCTCATACCTCCACCTCACCAGCCTCATACCTCCACCTCACCAGCCTCATACCTCCACCTCACCAGCCTCATACCTCCACCTCACCAGCCTCATACCTCCACCTCACCAGCCTCATACCTCCACCTCACCAGCCTCATACCTCCACCTCACCAGCCTCATACCTCCACCTCACCAGCCTCATACCTCCACCTCACCAGCCTCATACCTCCACCTCACCAGCCTCATACCTCCAACCTCACCAGCCTCATACCTCCACCTCACCAGCCTCATACCTCCACCTCACCAGCCTCATACCTCCACCTCACCAGCCTCATACCTCCACCTCACCAGCCTCATACCTCCACCTCCGTACCTCCCCCTCAACTATACAACAACAACAACCCAACTATACAACATCAACAACTATACAACAACAGCTGTAGTTTCAGTTGGCGCAACTCAGTCATCACCTGCAAACACCAGAGTGGTGGTCCACCAAGGACACTTGTGGCCGAATTCTTGCCTAGTTCAAGGACACGGACACACTAGACACCAGGCTGGACACACTAGACACCAGGCTGGACACACTAGACACCAGGCTGGACGCTAGACACCAGGCTGGACACTAGACACCGGGCTGGACACACTAGACACCGGGCTGGACACACTAGACACCAGGCTGGACACACTAGACACCAGGCTGCACACACTAGACACCAGGCTGGACACAAGACACCAGGCTGGACACACTAGACACCAGGCTGGACACACTAGACACCAGGCTGGACACTAGACACCAGGATGAACACACTAGACACCAGGCTGGACACTAGACACCAGGCTGGACACACTAGACACCAGGCTGCACACACTAGACACCAGGCTGGACACACTAGACACCAGGCTGGACACTAGACACCAGGCTGGACTCACTAGAGACCAGGCTGCACACACTAGACACCAGGCTGGACCCACTAGACACCAGGCTGGACACTAGATACCAGGCTGGACACTAGACACCAGACTGGACACACTAAACACCAGGCTGGACACTAGACACCAGGCTGGACACTAGACACCAGACTGGACACTAGACACCAGGTTGGACACCCTAGACACCAGACTGGACACACTATACACCAGGCTGGACCCACTAGACACCAGGCTGGACACTAGACACCAGGCTGGACACACTAGACACCAGGCTGGACACTAGACACCAGGATGGACACACTAGACACCAGGCTGGACACACTAGACACCAGGCTGGACCCACTAGACACCAGGCTGGACACTAGACACCAGGCTGGACACTAGACACCAGGCTGCACACACTAGACACCAGGCTGCACACACTAGACACTCGGCTGGACACACTAGACACCAGGCTGGACACTAGACACCAGGCTGGACACTAGACACCAGGCTGCACACACTAGACACCAGGCTGCACACACTAGACACCAGGCTGGACCCACTAGACACCAGGCTGGACACTAGACACCAGGCTGGACACACTAGACACCAGGCTGGATACTAGACACCAAGCTGGACACACTAGACACCAGGCTGTACACACTAGACACCAGGCTGGACACACTAGACACCAGGCTGGACACACTAGAGACCAGGCTGCACACACTAGACACCAGGCTGGACACACTAGACACCAGGCTGGACACTAGACACCAGGCTGGACACTAGACACCAGGCTGGACACACTAGACACCAGGCTGCACACACTAGACACCAGGCTGGACCCACTAGACACCGGGCTGGACACTAGACACCAGGTTGGACACTAGGCACCAGGCTGGACACACTAGACACCAGGCTGGATATTAGACACAAGGCTGGACACTAGACACCAGGCTGGACACACTAGACACCAGGCTGCACACACTAGACACCAGGCTGGACACACTAGACACCAGGCTGGACCCACTAGACACCAGGCTGGACACTAGACACCAGGCTGGACACTAGACACCAGGCTGGACACACTAGACACCAGGCTGGACCCACTAGACACCAGGGTGCACACACTAGACACCAGGCTGGACCCACTAGACACCAGGCTGCACACACTAGACACCAGGCTGCACACACTAGACACCAGGCTGGACACAAAACACTAGGCTGGACACACTAGACACCAGGCTGGACCCACTAGACACCAGACTGCACACACTAGACACCAGGCTGGACACACTAGACGCCAGGCTGCACACACTAGACACCAGGCTGGACACAAAACACTAGGCTGGACACACTAGACACCAGGCTGGACCCACTAGACACCAGGCTGCACACACTAGACACCAGGCTGGACACACTAGACACCAGGCTGCACACACTAGACACCAGGCTGGACACAAAACACTAGGCTGGACACACTATACACCAGGCTGGACCCACTAGACACCAGGCTGGACACACTAGACACCAGGCTGCACACACTAGACACCAGGCTGGACACAAAACACTAGGCTGGACACACTATACACCAGGCTGGACCCACTAGACACCAGGCTGCACACACTAGACACCAGGCTGGACACACTAGACACCAGGCTGCACACACTAACACCAGACTGGACACAAAACACTAGGCTGGACACAAAACACCAGGCTGGACACACTAGACACCAGGCTGGACCCACTAGATACCAGGCTGCACATACTAGACACCAGGCTGGACACAAAACACCAGGCTGGACACAAAACACAGTATTTATAGCTAGGTAAGTGACGTTATAAAGAAAGTAGTTGGCACTACCCTCAGGTAGGTGTTAATACCTGCGTGGCACTACCCAGGGAGGCACAGGGCCACTGTCCCCTGGGGGAAGTGCCACTACCCAGGGAGTAACAGAGGTGAGAATAACTTACCTGGGAAGAAAGTGCTTTAAGTTAGGCAGATGAGGATGAAGTTAGGGGAAGATGTACTTACCAGAGCAGGTGAAGCCGTCACCCTCGTAGCCTGGGAAGCAGGTGCAGTAGAAGGAGCCCAGAGTGTTGGTACAGGTAGCGAACACGTCACACGGACGGTACTTGCACTCGTTCTCATCTGTAGTAATACAAGGTCAGGTCAGTACTGTATACACGAGGGTCAGGGGAGGGGTCAGGAGGGCAGAACACCACTTATATTGACGCCCACGTACACTAACACCACTTATATTGACACCCACGTACACTAACACCACTTATACTGACACAGTTAACGCTGTAGACACCCCTACAAAATCATTTTTATATTTTTTAGGCACGTATGAGCGAAATATAACTGCAGTAGACCTACTGACCCATACCAGGCAGGTGCTTGTCACACTCACTCATGTACCTGCTCTAAGCTAAAGTATGAGGCACCACACAGGTATAAGGTGCCGTGCAGGTATGAGGTACCGTGCAGGTATAAGGTACCGTGTAAGGGGTTCATTAGTTAGTTCTACTTGACTCTCACATTTACTGTTCACCTGCCTGGTCACGCCAGGTGTGTAACAATGTTAACATGTTCACTGTGTTCACCTGCCTGGTCACGCCAGGTGTGTAACAATGTTAACATGTTCACTGGAGGATGAGTGGAGGCGCTGGGGTCGACCTTGCACAAGGATGTTAGGTTCCTTCACCCTCTCCTACATACACTCACATCCTCAACTAACTCCCACTTCCTTCCTCCCCCTCCCCCCCAACTTCCGCCTCTCCTAGGCCGCCTCTACCACCCCCTTCTATCACCCACCATCTCCATCATACAGGACTTGCTTCCATCTCCCCAAGAGATATACTTCCCCACCTCCCCACCTTTTCTCCCCACCTCTACAAGAAGAATCGTTCCCCTCCAGGTTGTGGTTGGGTTGTGGGTTTGTGTTAGCAAGGTGAGTGAGGGGAAGTCTCAAGGCTCAATTATTGGAGCACCTGGGACAGGTGGGAGAGTGTGTGGGTGACCTCTCAACGTGCTCATTAACTTACCCTGGACCACCTGTCTCTCACACCCACCTGAACACGCAGTGTGAGCTAGAGCACCACCTTGGAGAGAGATCAGAGCTAAAGTACTACCTGATAGAGAGATCATGCCTCAAACAGCCCCATCTCAAGCCCTTTCACCTGTCATTCCAAGCCCCTAACCCTTTTCCTGGTCCTATTATTAGTCCTCACTCCATCCCTAGCCCCTCTCCTAGCTCCTATCCTCCTCCTTTACCAAGTTAGGTTATATAATACAGGTGACTCACCTAAACATAGATGACGCAATCACAGCTGACCTAAAGTAAACAGATGACGCAATCAAAACTGACTGAACTAAAAACCGGCTGATATCAGCACAGCTGACGTGAACATCTCAACATCAGTGAAAGCCTGTATCTGCACACCTGAAGTGCAGGTGTGGCTGTGACCCTGGTGCTGGAGGCTCAGTGCTGGAGGTACACATGAGGCTGGAGGGCACAGGAAACTCTGAAGGAGGTGCTAGCGACCACAAGAATCTGACCAACACAATATAATAACATTCTCCAATGATTATTGTTCTTATACGCACAGGCAACTCCCTCCCCAACCCCCCCTTCAACCTACATCACAGAGGTAGTGGTAGTTGTAGTTGTAGTAGTAGTAGACAGTAGTTAACATTACGGAACCTGCAATAGTGTGCTACTCTTTAAAACACCACACCACATACACACTCTGTAAAGAACTACCTTTCAAACCACTAAATAATCCGTCCACATGAACGTTAACTACTGAACAACCATCAACCCTGGCAAACTATCACAAGGCCTAAAGGCAGCTAGCACTTAAACCTACTTGAACAATATACTGAAGCCTTTTAAACTCCAATTAGAGGTCCATAAAAATGGTCTTTAAATGGTGGCCAGCAGTCAGGAAGACACAGCAACACTCATTATGTTACCTATCATTAAACATCATAAATGAGAGGGACTAGTGACCTGTGTGGGAAACATGTCACACTGCTCAGAGGTGGTGAAACATGTCACCAGAAGTGAAGCATGTCACCAGAGATCGTGAAACATGTCAGCAGAGGTCGTGAAACATGTCACCAGAAGTCGTGAAGCACGTCACACTACTCAGAGGTAGACTAAACTATGATGGTAGGATGGCAGAAGACTCACCTGGTGATTCACAGCCACAACCACCATAACCATCGTTACAGTGACAGAGGCCGTCGAGACAGGCACCGTTGATGCACTTGTAACCCTGCGTGTACGGGCAGTTTATCTGTAACACAAGAATAACAAGTTAGTTATCTTGCAGAGTTGGCTGTATCAGCAGTTTTCTGTAAAGAAGTTAGTTATTTAATCGGGTAAGGTGGAAGGCAGGCAGGGAGTAAAGTAAGGAAGAAGAATACAGAAGGATGGCAGCAGGGAAATGTAAGATGAGAGAAAGAGAGGTGCAAGAAAGAGGGGAAAAATACAGATAAGGATTTAAGAAAGGCAGGGATAGAGAGAGAAAATAAACAACGTGACTTTTGTGTTGTTGACTGCAACGATACAAGAGATTATAACTGGTCTTGTTACATCATATAAAATTATCTTGGGTGTAGCAGCAGAAGTTTCACCAGAGGTGGAGCCACGTGAACGTCCCTGACCTCTTATAATATCATGTCAACACACTACATTACACCCATAACATGTCTATATTCTTCTGCATATCTTCCTCCTTAATACCTAACTTGGCTCTGTTCTAAAACGTGACGTGGACATGTTTATCTTGAGGGCGTCAACAGTGAATACTGAAGTGGCATTAACCTGGGCTTAATTATTCAAGCAAGAGTGACTCGACAACCTGGTAATTCCTTCATCCCTGTGTGTGTGTAATGGTGTTCCTGGTGAGGAATAAACTAATACTGATGGCCTCTGGTCTGTCTGTCTTTGCAGTGCTTGTTGCAACTCCCAGCATACATGAGGGGGATTACCAATAGACCCCTGGCTGTCTTCTGGATCTCCTGGATGTCTTCAAGATCCCTGGTTGTCTTCTGGATCTCCTGGATGTCTTCAAGATCCCCTGGCTGTCTCCAAGATCCCCTGGCTGTCTTCAAGACCCCCTGGCTGTCTTCAAGACCCCCCTGGCTGTCTTCAAGATCCCCTGGCTCTCTTCTGGATCTCCTGGCTGTCTTCAAGATCCCTGGTTGTCTTCTGGATCTCCTGGATGTCTTCAAGATCCCCTGGCTGTCTCTAAGATCCCCTGGCTGTCTTCAAGACCCCCTGGCTATCTTCAAAACCCCCCTGGCTGTCTTCAAGACCCTCTGGCTGTTTTCAAGACCCCCTGGCTGTCTTCAAGACCCCATGGCTGTCTTCAAGACCCCCTGGCTGTCTTCAAGACCCCCTGGCTATCTTCAAGACACTCCTGGTTGTCTTCAAGACCCCCTGGCTGTCTTCAAGACCCCCTGGCTATCTTCAAGACTTCCCTGGCTGTCTTCAAGACCCTCTGCCTGTCTCCAAGACCCCCCTGGCTGTCTTCAAAACCCCGGGCTGTCTTCAAGACCCCTGGCTGTCTTCAAGAAGGCGCGCTGCACTTGTCAGTACCTGACCAGCCGGGCTGTGGTTTATACGTCGGTTTACGTTCGGCCAGCAGTAACAGCCTGGTTGATCAGACCCTGATCCACCATGAGGCCTGGTCACAGACCGGGGGACGGGGGCACTGATCCCCGAAACCCTCTCCAGGTATACTCCAGGTATACACACAGCTGTCACATAGTTGTGAACACTGGGGTTTCCCTGTGGAGCACTGTCTGGGGTTCCCTGTGGAACACTGTCTGGGGTTCCCTGTGGAGCACTGTCTGGGGTTCCCTGTGAAGCATTGTCTGGGGTTCCCTGTGAAGCACTGTCTGGGGTTCCCTGTGGAGCACTGTCTGGGGTTCCCTGTGGAGCACTGTCTGGGGTTCCCTGTGAAGCACTGTCTGGGGTTCCCTGTGGAGCACTATCTGTGGTTCCCTGTGGAGCACTGTCTGGGGTTCCCTGTGGAGCACTGTCTGGGGTTCCCTGTGGAGCACTGTCTGGGGTTCCCTGTAGAGCACTGGGTTTACCTGTGGAGCACTGTCTGGGATTCCCTGTGGAGCACTGTCTGCGGTTCTCTGTGGAGCACTGTCTGGGGTTCTCTGTGGAGCACTGGGTTTCCCTGTGGAGCACTGTCTGGATTTCCTTGTGGAGCACTGTCTGGGGTTCCCTGTGGAGCACTGTCTGGGGTTCCCTGTGGAGCACTGTCTGGGGTTCCCTGTGGAGCACTGTCTGGGGTTCCCTGTGAAGCACTGTCTGGGGTTCCCTGTGAAGAACTATCTGGGGTTCCCTGTGGAGCACTGTCTGGGGTTTCCTGTGGAGCACTGTCTGGGGTTCCCTGTGAAGCACTATCTGGGGTTCCCTGTGGAGCACTGTCTGGGGTTCCCTGTGGAGCACTGTCTGGGGTTCCCTGTGGAGCACTGTCTGGGGTTCCCTGTGGAGCACTGTCTGGGGTTCCCTGTGGAGCACTGTCTGGGGTTCCCTGTGGAGCACTGTCTGGGGTTCCCTGTGAAGCACTGTCTGGGGTTCCCTGTGGAACACTGTCTGGGGTTCCCTGTGGAGCACTGTCTGGGGTTCCCTGTGAAGCACTGTCTGGGGTTCCCGTGTGAGCACTGTCTGGGGTTCCCTGTGGAGCACTGTCTGGGGTTCCCTGTGGAGCACTATCTGGGGTTCCCTGTGAAGCACTTCTGGGGTTCCCTGTGAGCACTATTGGGTTCCCTGTGGAGCACTGTCTGGGGTTCCCTGTGGAGCACTGTCTGGGGTTCCGTGGAGCACTGTCTGGTTCCCTGTGAGCACTGTCTGGTCCTGGAGCACTGTCTGGGTCCCTGTGGAGCACTGTCTGGGGTTCCCTGTGGAGCACTGTCTGGGGTTCCCTGTGGAGCACTGTCTGGGGTTCCCTGTGAAGCACTGTCTGGGGTTCCCTGTGGAGCACTGTCTGGGGTTCCCTGTGGAGCACTGTCTGGGGTTCCTGTGGAGCACTGTCTGGGGTTCCCTGTGAAGCACTGTCTGGGGTTCCCTGTGGAGCAACTGTCTGGGGTTCCCTGTGAGCACTGTCTGGGGTTTCCCTGTGGAGCACTGTCTGGGGTTCCCTGTGAAGCACTGTCTGGGGTTCCCTGTGGAGCACTGTCTGGGGTTCCCTGTGGAGCACTGTCTGGGGTTCCCTGTGAGCACTGTCTGGGGTTCCCTGTGAGCACTGTCTGGGGTTCCCTGTGAGCACTGTCTGGGGTTCCCTGTGAAGCACTGTCTGGGGTTCCCTGTGGAGCACTGTCTGGGGTTCCCTGGTAGCAGCTGTCTGGTCCACTGTGGAGCACTGTCTGGTCCTATGAAGACAGTCAGGTTCACCTGTGAACACTGATCTGGGTTCACTGGGAGCACTGTCTGGTTCCCGTGAAGTCACAGTACGGTCCCGTGAAGCACTGGTCTGGGGTTCATGGAAGCACTGACTGGAGTCCTGTGAGCAGTCGGGTTCCCTGTGGAGCACTATCTGTGGTTCCCTGTTGAGCACTGTCCTGGGTTCTGTGGAGCACTGTCTGGGTCCCTGTGGAGCACTGTCTGGTTCCCTGTGGAGCACTGTCTGGTTCCTGAGACTGTCATGGTTCCACTGTGGAGCACTGTCTGGGTATTCCCGGTGGAAAACACTGTCTGGGTTCCTGTGGAGCACTGCTGGTTCCGTGGAGCACAATGTTGGGGTTCCTGACACTGTCTGGTTCCTGTGAGCTACTGTTGGGTTCTGTGGAGCAGTCTGGGTTCCTGTGGAGCACTGTCTAGGGATTCCTGTAACACTTCTGGGTTCCTTGGAGCACTGTCTGGGGTTCCCTGTGGAGCACTGTCTGGGGTTCCCTGTGGAGCACTGTCTGGGGTTCCCTGTGGAGCACTATCTGGGGTTCCCTGTGGAGCACTGTCTGGGGTTCCCTGGCTAGTGCTTCAAAGAACACACAGCAGTGAACAAGAAGAACATAACACTAGGTAATACTTGAGGATGTTTACTGAGGAAATATTTCTCCAGCCAGTCCAAAACAGAGAAGACTGGTGGGAGATGAGGAGGAACTTGGAGGTAATCAGTCCCTCAGGCTGGAGTCAGTCTGTTCAAACATGTTTTCAGTCCATCAGTGTTGAGACTGATGGAGTGAATACAGCAGCTCCAGGTTGACGGATTGATTACCTCAAACTCCCCATTTTCCAGCGTTCTTCTGTGTATTGGACTGAAGAAATCACTGACTGGAGAAATATTCACTACACAGTAATGAAGACAATTTCAGTATGACATTTTTCTAAATAAGGTAATGTATATTGTGGAGAAAGTTCGTTTGTTTAAATTCTCCAGTGATGCCAACACTTCTTCTACACTTCTCCAACACTCATCACTCCGCTTGTATATTCCCATCTTTATCATGTATTTTCTATAGACTTGGATAAGCTGTGTCAATGAACGGAAAGCTGTCTTAATGCAGTGTCTGTTCTGTCTGTGTGTTTATGTCTGTTCTGTCTGTGTGTTTGTGTCTGTTCTGTTTGTGTGTTCGTGTCTCTTCTGCCTTTCTGTTTGTTCGGTTCTCAGCTTTGGTTGGTTTCAGCTCAATGAATATTTTGTGTGTTCCCACAGGTGCTGTTGCTGGGTCCGCTAGTTCTACTCCGTTGACTGCTTCTCTTCCCTGTTATGCCAGTGGGTTGTGTACAATCAAGTGTTCCAACACTTGACTAGCCTCAGTGAAGGTGATGTTTATTCTTGCCAGTTCTCTCTCTCTTGCTTGCTGTCTTCAGTGTCTGTCGAACCCCTGGTTCGATCTTCCTGCTGGCTACTTTGTTTCAACCTCCTTGACCTGCCTTCTTGAACCCCAGGTTCCCACTCACCACATCATCACGGAACTTTACTCTTTGTGTTCACTGTCCTCCACCTCAGACTGTTTTCCCACTCTATTTCCCTGTGGTTAAAGTCCTCTGTAATTACCACCATGGGTCACATCCTGTCTGCTGCTGCTCCTTCTGCCCTCTCTGTTAGGTCTATTGTTATTATATATGGACCATTATCTGCAGCTGCTTGTACACGGGTAACACGCACATACGACAAATTTATGATGAGGATAAGGTCTGTCTTGGAGCATTAACTAGTAACACAGAAGTGTGGAGGGAAGGCCCTCCCCCGCCCTCCACACTTCTGTAACCAGGTCTGACCGAAACGTCGTGGTAAGCTCTCCTCTCCTATGTGAGGGTTATTTGTGTATTGTTCCAGTCACGGTACTGTGCTTTCCTGTTCATTTTGATAGTTATGTATAACAGTAGTAATAACTTGTGTTCTTCATGTTATTTGTGCCACGTCATAGAGCGTGTGATCAACACTCATTTTGATCTCCTAGTTTCACTGTTCTCTCACCAGAAGAACCTCCACCTCACTCATTGTTCCTTCTCCACTCTCCCATCATCTGCCATCCTGGTGAGAATATCACACATATCGTGACTTGTGTCTCTGCTTCTCCTTGTAAGAGGTCTTCCCGGAACAAAAATCAACGTTCCTCTTTATACTTGGCCCTAGTGTGCACTCACTTATTTCTGGTTGCAAGGGTCGAGTTACAGCTCATGTGTGTGTGTGAACATGCAAGTGGACACCCACCTACCGTTCTCAGTCGTCAGTCATAATGTTGGTTACTTGTGTTATCGGTTACTGCTCCCGATCCGTCCTTGTCAAGGCCAGGTGATCGGTTGGTAGGTAGGACGGTCGGTGACTCTCTCTCTCTCTTTCTCTGATGCTGACCAGGTCTGGTATTATCTAACACAGTAAACATGTGTCTCACATCTAACACAACAAACACATGTAACATACGTAGATTCAAAACTGAATATACTTATGGGAGGGAGAACATAAATATACCCACAGGTGTTTCAGAGGTATGACCTGGTGTGTGTGTGGCACAACTGATCTTCCTTACCACTGGTACTATCATCACACCACTGGTGCTGTCATCACACCACTGGTGCTGTCATCACACCACTGGTGCTGTCATCACACCACTGGTGCTGTCATCACACCACTGGTGCTGTCATCACACCACTGGTGCTGTCATCACACCACTGGTGCTGTCATCACACCACTGGTGCTGTCATCACACCACTGGTACTATCATCACACCACTGGTGCTGTCATCACACCACTGGTGCTGTCATCACACCACTGGTGCTGTCATCACACACTGGTGCTGTCATCACACCACTGGTGCTGTCATCACACCACTGGTGCTGTCATCACACCACTGGTGCTGTCATCACACCACTGGTGCTGTCATCACACCACTGGTGCTGTCATCACACCACTGGTGCTGTCATCACACACTGGTGTGTCATCACACCACTGGTGCTGTCATCACACCCCTGGTGCTGTCATCACACCACTGGTGCTGTCATCACACCACTGGTGCTGTCATCACACCACTGGTGCTGTCATCACACCACTGGTGCTGTCATCACACCACTGGTGCTGTCATCACACCACTGGTGCTGTCATCACACCACTGGTACTATCATCACACCACTGGTGCTGTCATCACAACACTGGTACTATCATCACACGACTTGTACTGTCATCACACCACTGGTACTATCATCACACCACTGGAGCTGTCATCACACTGCTGTCATCACACCACTGGTGCTGTCATCACACCACTGGTGCTGTCATCACACCACTGGTGCTGTCATCACACCACTGGTGCTGTCATCACACCACTGGTGCTGTCATCACACCACTGGTGCTGTCATCACACCATGGTGCTGTCATCACACCACTGGTGCTGTCATCACACCACTGGTGCTTGTCATCAACACCACTGGTGCTGTCATCACACCGCTGGTGCTGTCATCACACCGCTGGTGCTGTCATCACACCACTGGTGCTGTCATCACACCACTGGTGCTGTCATCACACCACTGGTGCTGTCATCACACCACTGGTGCTGTCATCACACCACTGGTGCTGTCATCACACCACTGGTACTATCATCACACCACTGGTGCTGTCATCACAACACTGGTACTATCATCACACGACTTGTACTGTCATCACACCACTGGTACTATCATCACACCACTGGTGCTGTCATCAGACCACTGGTGCTGTCATCACACCACTGGTGCTGTCATCACACCACTGGTACTATCATCACACCACTGGTGCTGTCATCACACCACTGGTGCTGTCATCACACCACTGGTGCTGTCATCACACCACTGGTGCTGTCATCACACCACTGGTACTATCATCACACCACTGGTGCTGTCATCACACCACTGGTGCTGTCATCACACCACTGGTGCTGTCATCACACCACTGGTGCTGTCATCACACCACTGGTGCTGTCATCACACCGCTGGTGCTGTCATCACACACTGGTACTATCATCACACGACTTGTACTGTCATCACACACTTGTTTCTGCATCACACCACTGGTACTATCATCACACCACTTTGGGACTGTCATCACCACTGGTACTATCATCACACCACTGGTACTATCATCACACCACTGGTACTATCGTCACACCACTTGTACTGTCATCACACCACTGGTACTATCATCACACCACTGGTACTATCATCACACCACTGGTACTATCGTCACACCACTTGTACTGTCATCACACCACTGGTGCTGTCATCACACCACTGGTACTATCATCACACCACTGGTACTATCATCACACCACTTGTACTGTCATCACACCACTGGTACTATCATCACACCACTGGTACTATCGTCACACCACTTGTACTGTCATCACACCACTGGTACTATCATCGCACCACTGGTACTGTCATCACACCACTGGTACTGTCATCACACAAACGCCATTTGGTGCTTATCATCACACAAACACCACTGGTACTATCATCACACCACTTGTACTGTCATCACACCACTGGTACTGTCATCACACAAACACCACTGGTACTATCATCACACCACTGGTACTGTCATCACACCACTGGTACTGTCATCACACAAACGCCACTGGTACTATCATCACACAAACACCACTGGTACTATCATCACACCACTGGTACTATCATCACACCACTGGTACTATCATCACACCACTGGTACTATCATCACATCACTGGTACTATCATCACACCACTGGTACTATCATCACATCACTGGTACTATCAACATCACTGGTACTATCATCAAAACCACTGGTACTATCATCACATCACTGGTACTATCATCACACCATGGTACTATCATAACACCACTGGTACTATCAGCACATCACTGGTACTATCATCACACCACTGGTACTATCATCACATCACTGGTACTATCATCACATCACTGGTACTATCATCACATCACTGGTACTATCATCACACCACTGGTACTATCATCACATCACTGGTACTATCATCACATCACTGGTACTATCATCACATCACTGGTACTATCATCACACCACTGGTACTATCATCACATCACTGGTACTATCATCACACCACTGGTACTATCATCACATCACTGGTACTATCATACATCACGTATATCTCACATCCTGGTAATATCATCACACCACTGGTACTATCATCACACACTGGTACTATCATCACAAACTCATGGTACTATCATCACACCACTGGGTTTCTATCATCATCACTGGTATATCATACACTGGTACTATCATCTCACCACTGGTACTTTCATCACACCACTGGTACTATCATCACACCACTGGTACTATCATCACACCACTGGTACTATCATCACACCACTGGTACTATCATCACACCACTGGTACTATCATCACACCACTGGTACTATCATCACATCACTGGTACTATCATCACATCACTGGTACTATCATCACACCACTGGTACTATCATCACATCACTGGTACTATCATCACATCACTGGTACTATCATCACATCACTGGTACTATCATCACATCCACTGGTACTATCATCACATCACTGGTACTATCATCACACCAACTGGTACTATCATCACACCACTGGTACTATCATCACACACTGGTTTCTATCATCACACCACTGGTACTATCATCACACCAAATGGTACTATCATCACACCACTGGTACTATCATCACACAACACCCTGGTTTCTATCATCACACCACTGGTACTATCATCACACCACTGGTACTATCATCAACATCACTGGACTATCATCACACCACTGGTACTATCATCACAACACTGGTACTATCATCACACCACTGGTACTATCATCACACCACTGGTACTATCATCACATCACTGGTACTATCATCACACCACTGGTACTATCATCACACCACTGGTACTATCATCACACCACTGGTACTATCATCAAAAACATGGTACTATCATCACCACAATGGTACTATCATCACACAAAACACCATCTGGTACTATCATCACACACTGTACATCAACAACACTGGTACTTCATCACACCACTGGTATATATCACATCACTGGTACTATCATCACACCACTTGGTACTATCATCACACAAAAGCACTTGGTACTATCATCACAAACACCACTGGTACTATCATCACACCACTGGTACTATCATCACAACACTGGTACTATCATCACATCACTGGTACTATCATCACACAAACACAACAAACACTGTTAATATTGATCCCTCTTAAGAATGTTCATCACGTTGTTCAGGATGACGTGAACAAGTGTTCATAAGCCACATAGAATGAACAGGAGAATGCTGATAGATGCGAGTGAACAGTCGTGTTCAAGAAGCTGGAAGGTAACTCACAGATAACTTATGTGTTCATCTAAGTTCACCACAGTTCGTTGATAACTTACTGGTGCACTTGAGTTCACTGTAGTTCTCGTCTGATCCGAGGAAGCAGTTTGGAGTGCCGTCACACAGCTTGGAGACCTCGAAGAGTTGTAGCACCTCGGTCGAGGCGTTCACCTGACATCCAAAGTATCCATCTTCCAGGTTCAGGAAGAATATCTCTCTCTGGAGACCTTGTCCTAAGTTCACTTGTTCTAAGTTTGTTTGTCCTAAGTTCACTTGAGCAGAAACCTGAAATAAACACGTACAAAACCGGTTACTTCTGCGGGAAATTGTACAGGATATAATATTTATAACAATGCTAATTTGTTAGCCAGAAAAAAATATTAACTATAATTATTATTATTACTATTAATTATTATTAAATATAGTAATCCACTTCTTATATTTTATCTCAAATTAGACTGTCCCACTCTCTATAATTTCGTGAGTATTTTGTATGTCATGATAGTATCCCCCTGTAATTTCCTCACTCGTGTTATTCTCAGACCAAGACTGTACCAGCTAGCTTATAATAACTTTATCAATGCTAATTGTGTAGTCAGGAAAAAATGGTTCACTATAATATTTTCATTATAGTTATTAATTAAATATAGTATCCACTTCCTTTTATTGTGTATCTCAAATAGGTACTGTCCACTACTCTTAATTTCAGTGAGTATTTTGTATGTCATGATATGTCACACCTAGGTACTTTCCCTACCTGTAAGTTCATTATTACAGTGCACACAGGTGTACCAGCCTGCGTACTACACTCTACACTGTTGTCAAGCGTAGAGTGTGTAGGTACAATGGTCAACATCAGGGCCTTCACACTACACTGTTGTCAAGTGTAGAGTGTAGTTACAGTGGTCAACACCAGGGTAACAGCTTTCACACTACACTGTTGTCAAGTGTAGAGTGTAGTTACACAGGTCAACACCAGGGTAACAGCCTTCACATACATGTTGTAAGTGTAGAGTGTAGTTACACTGGTCAACACCAGGGTAACAGCCTTCACACTACACTGTTGTCAAGTGTAGAGTGTAGTTACACTGGTCAACACCAGGGTAACAGCCTTCACACTACACTGTTGTCAAGTGTAGAGTGTAGTTACACTGGTCAACACCAGAGTAACAGCCCACACAGACGGAATAGCGGTACACTACCTTCTGTGGAACTCACATTAATTTTCAACCTCACATCGACATTCTAATGTTTTTCTTGTTCCAGTTAACGTTATTAATATTAATGTTGTTGGACTGCAGATGAAGTCATGATGTTGTTGGGTGTAGTGTTGCAGGTGTAGTGTGTACTGTGTACCCACACGGGCACTGTATGTTAAAGATTGCATGAATATCCTTCTGGGTGAGTGTAGCGGACTGCTCAGCCTCCAGGAGTAAGCTTCCATTACTTATATTAACTTAATTATCCAAGCCACACGTTCGTCCTAACATGGCGTCACCTACACAAACATATACAGTAACTGTAACACCATCTTATGGGGAAGCAGAGCGTGTAAAAGGGGTGAAGATAATGAATAATAATGATGATAAAGTGTAGGTGAGGTGTATGGTAGCACGGATGAGTGGTGATGGGTGGAGTAAGGGTACTCCAGAGACCAGGACATCCAACATATTCAAGGCTTTATCGACCACACCTATGCCATATGCTCCCTATCTTCCTATCTACTACACATCATATTGGGAATAGTTCTTCAATATTGCTAATCTATACTATTGTATGTGGACGAGAGCAGTGTTAGTAAACTAGAGGGACGAGAGGAGGTGGATAGGCAAACAAAGACAAACTGGCTATGACTCCACCATACCATCCACCTCTGTCCCGTTTTCCTGTACTCACACACACATGCCACGGGGGATAGTTGAAGATAGAGGGACATGATATACGAGAGGTATAAGATAGAGTGGACAGGGCCTGGGAACAGAAAGCAAGGGACACAGCAGCAAGGGGACACAGCCATGGCACACTGCAGCCAAGGGACACAGCAGCAAGGGACACAGCAGCATGGGACACGGCGAGCAAGGGGACACAGCAGCAAGGGGACACTAGCAGAAGGGAACTAGCAGAAGGGGACACAGCAGCAAGGGGACACAGCAGCAAGGGGACACAGCAGCAAGGGGACACAGCAGCAAGGGGACACAGCAGCAAGGGGACACAGCAGCAAGGGGACACAACTAGAAATTAAAAACTTAGATGAGTCATAGGGATATTAAGAAGTATTTCCTCAGCCTTAGAGCTGTCAGGAAGTGGAACAATCTGGAGAGTGAAGTAGTGGTGGCAGAATCCATACATAGCCTTTAAAAGGTACGACAAAGCTTTTGGAGCAGGGAGAGAGTGGACCTAGTAGCGACTAACGTAGAGGCGGGGTCCAAGAGATGTGAATCGAACCCTGCAACCACAAATAGGTGAGTACATCTTCCCTCACATGCACTCAATTTGCATTCTCCCGCACACGTATATTATCAACGCTTGTGTGGAGTGTGCGAGCGGAAGTGAGAATGATGGTGGCACGGGCGCCACAACACTACGCCATCACCAAGTACAATCCCGGATGTCCACAAGATATTATTTGTTAATATTAGGAGATGAACGGCGCTCACTTCTCGTAACTCCGGGTGCTACAGGCTTGGGGATTTTTGCCTCTTCTTCCGTCACTACTGCTCACTGACTGACAGGAAATTAGACAGGTGTAGCCCTAAGATGTGAGTCACGCCAGCACACTCTTAATAAGTGGATGATGGTAGACAGGTGACTAGACAGGTGAAGGATTAAGACATGAATCACTTCCACACCTGTCTCCTTCAACACCTGCAGCTCACATCTGTCTCCTCTAACACCTGCAGCTCACACCTGTCTCTTCCAACACCTGCAGCTCACATCTGTCTCCTTTAACACCTGCAGCTCACACCTGTCTCATCCAACACCTGCAGCTTCTATGGGCTACTCTACAAAGGCTTGGTAAAGGTATATTCTCAAAGTGCAGGGAACGTCAACAGGGAACGTCAACAGGGAACGTCAACAGGGAACGTCAACAGGGAACGTCAACAGGGAACGTCAACAGGGAAAGTCAAGAAGGGTGATACAGTGAACGTCAAGAAGAGTGGTACAGGGAACGTCAAGAAGGGTGGTACAGGGAACGTCAAGAAGGGTGGTACAGGGAACGTCAAGAAGAGTGGTACAGGGAACGTCAAGAAGAGTGGTACAGGGAACGTCAAGAAGGGTGGTACAGGGAACGTCAAGAAGAGTGGTACAGGGAACGTCAAGAAGGGTGGTACAGGGAACGTCAAGAAGGGTGGTACAGGGAACGTCAAGAAGAGTGGTACAGGGAACGTCAAGAAAGGGTACAGGGAACGTCAAGAAGGGTGGTTACAGGGGAAAGTCAAGAAGGGTGGTTTCAGGGAACGTCAAGAAGAGTGGTACAGGGAACGTCAAGAAGAGTGGTACAGGGAACGTCAAGAAGGGTGGTACAGGGAACGTCAAGAAGAGTGGTACAGGGAACGTCAAGAAGAGTGGTACAGGGAAGTCAAGAAGAGTGGTACAGGGAACGTCAAGAAGAGTGGTACAGGGAACGTCAAGAAGGGTGGTAAGGGAACGTCAAGAAGAGTGGTTTCAGGGAACGTCAGAAGGGTGGTACAGGGAACGTCAAGAAGAGTGGTACAGGAACGTCAAGAAGAGTGGTACAGGGGAACGTCAAGAAGAGTGGTACAGGGAAAAGTCAAGAAGGGTGGTACAGGGAACGTCAAGAAGAGTGGTACAGGGAACGTCAAGAAGGTGGTACAGGGAACGTCAAGAAGGGTGGACAGGGAACGTCAAGAAGAGTGGTACAGGGAACGTCAAGAAGAGTGGTACAGGGAACGTCAAGAAGAGTGGTACAGGGAACGTCAAGAAGAGTGGTACAGGAACGTCAAGAAGAGTGGTACAGGGAACGTCAAGAAGAGTGGTACAGGGAACGTCAAGAAGGGTGGTACAGGGAACGTCAAGAAGGGTGGTACAGGGAACGTCAAGAAGAGTGGTACAGGGAACGTCAAGAAGAGTGGTACAGGAACGTCAAGAAGAGTGGTACAGGGAACGTCAAGAAGGGTGGTACAGGGAACGTCAAGAAGAGTGGTACAGGGAACGTCAAGAAGAGTGGTACAGGGAACGTCAAGAAGAGTGGTACAGGGAACGTCAAGAAGGGTGGTACAGGGAACGTCAAGAAGGGTGGTACAGGAACGTCAAGAAGGGTGGTACAGGGAACGTCAAGAAGGGTGGTACAGGGAACGTCAAGAAGGGTGGTACAGGGAACGTCAAGAAGAGTGGTACAGGAACGTCAAGAAGGGTGGTACAGGGAACGTCAAGAAGGGTGGTACAGGGAACGTCAAGAAGAGTGGTACAGGGAACGTCAAGAAGAGTGGTACAGGGAACGTCAAGAAGGGTGGTACAGGGAACGTCAAGAAGGGTGGTACAGGGAACGTCAAGAAGAGTGGTACAGGGAACGTCAAGAAGAGTGGTACAGGGAACGTCAAGAAGAGTGGTACAGGGAACGTCAAGAAGGGTGGTACAGGGAACGTCAAGAAGAGTGGTACAGGGAACGTCAAGAAGAGTGGTACAGGGAACGTCAAGAAGGGTGGTACAGGGAACGTCAACCTCAGTTCCATTACGAGAAATCATTAACATTAACTTTCTCTTTCTCTCAGTGTACCTTGAAGTCTCCTCACACCTCATGGCACCATATCTCCACTCCTTGGCACTCTCTACCCACTCCTTGGCACTCTCTACCCACTCCTTGGCACCGTCTACCCACTCTTGGCTGGCACCTCCTTCACACTTCAGAGAACACACTCAGAGGGTGCAGACAAGCACTCAACAATCAACAAGTGTACTTATGGCAGCAAGGAAAATGTACTTGTGACATTTATCAAAAGATCGAACAATGACTGAGACACAACAGGGATCGAGCGTCTGGCTGCTACAAGCATCACAGGTAAACTCAGGCAACATGCAGGCAACTTGTAACTGGTTAAGTTAAAGAAGTAGAGTCATAAGTACTTATAAGTGAGTAGGAGATAGAGAAGGAAGTGGAAAAATAAAGATGTGAGTTATCTCAACATTAGGTAAGCGACATGTGACTCAAGGAACACTGTAAAAACTGGAAGCAAATGTAAATTACCACAAGTAAATAGAACACCGGGAGCAAGAGGTGCTGAGAGAGCAGCAGTAGGAGCAGCAGTAGGAGCAGCAGTAGGAGC